CTAATTCTGAGAAGTAACATGCCAATGCCAGCAATTCACCCAATAAAGCAGTGTCTAAGAAGTGTTTCTCACCTTGTCTCATGGCAGGAAAAATTCCAGACTTATACTCAACCTTTCCCATGTCCTTCAAAACTAGTGCTACCCAAGAAAAGGAATCACAAGGTGCTTCCTATTGCCTCTCTTGCCAAAAATAGCTTCCTCTGTTTCCTGCCTGAGATTAATTCACTTTGCTTGGGAAGCCTTGCGTTCTCGGCTTGGGGCATAAGCCTCACCCACACATGACACCAAGTCCTGAGCACATGTAGGCTCCCTTATTTAATGAAAATGTCATATTAGATAATAAGGAAATGGCCAAAAGGTCGGTATGTATGTAAGCCTTAGTGTCATAGGTGGACAAAGCTTATATTCCAAGCCAAGAAATTACGGAATTAATAGCAAAGTAAAGGTAATCTTAGAAGGTCATCAGATGAAGCTTTTATGGGTAAGACATGCAATGACGGAAAACTTGAGATTCCAGTTCTTGGGAAGGGAATGGACATAACCCCTCTCTGGTTTTTATTTTCCAGAAACACAGGATGAAGTGAAAAGACCTCTCTCCTCTAAGGCCCCTTTTACAGGGGCGCTGTCAGCTCTCATCAACAGGGGACCCATGTTGCAGCCTGACTCTTCTATGTTCTAGTTGATTAAAAAAAAAAGTAAAAAAAGGCATATTTATCAATGTATATACAGCCTGACTGCACTGCAGTGATTAAAGTGACAGTAAACTAAAACAAATGCATTCAAGTAACCTAACTATTAACAGAACTATCCCTTATTTGTGTATCACTCGGCTGTAGATCCTCAAATCATCCTTGAATTGGTGCTGACACTGTCCTTCCTTCTGGAGGGTGGCTACCCCCTTTTGATCCCCATAGTCCCTGTGTGTGTTGTAATGCAGCCACCGCTCCAAGCTCGCTCCTGTGATGGACTAAAATCTCAGTACAAATAACTAAACATGAGATTGTAGTCCATTATGGGGGCGAGATTGGAGCAGTGGCTGCTTTACACACAGAGACCATGGGGATCAAAAGTAGCCACCCTCCAGAAGGAAGGACAGTGTCAGCACACAGATACACAAATAAGATACATTTTTGTTTATAGTTAAGGTCCTTAAATGCATTTATAAGATTTAACTCCAGTATTTAGTGTCGCTTTCAAAAAGAGGATTCAACTGCGCTTTTATATTTCTAGCACAGTGGCTTTATTTTTTAGGAGTGATCAGTGGGCGACATAATAATTAAAAGAGAACTATGGGGTAAGTGTTTTTCCCCATAGTTCTCTTAAAGGTCACGGGTGGACATATACTAACCTCCTCCCGTGACCCAAAGCTCAGTATATAACGAGCTACAGCTCGCTATATACTGAGACCCCACAGCCGGGAAGGATCCCAACAGCTGTACCCGCACCCTCCCCATCCATTCCGCCAGTCAGCGCTGGAGGATCGGAGCGGGGAGGGGGATTTGACTGACAGTGACTGTCAGTCAAATCCCGTGACTGACAGTCACGGCTCTCTGCAGGGAGATGATCGGTAAGTGAGCGAGTGACGGTATGTGTTCGATCACTTCCCAATCTATTGAGCCGAAGTGTGACAGTTTCCTTGTCGCACGCCGGCACGAACTATGAGGATGAATGATTTTCACTCACCTCATAGTTCTCCTTTAAGTTACAAGTGCAGAAAATTCACGTGTCTTATAATTTGTATCTACCCGTGCCCAAAATAACCATGCCAGTTTCCAGAAGCTATCAGAATCCATATTTCAGCACTTCAGCAACTTGCTATGAATCTGAGAAGCAGTTTTCTGATGATACTTCTGCTTTAAAGTGAAGCAACACCTTGCAATACGGAGGTGAAAAACATCTGATAGGTTATAAGATTTCCTATTATTTATTTGAGTGATATCACCAGTGAGGTTCAGGAAATATTTACCCCCTTTCCAGTTTCCACCCAACTGATCAAAAGGCTCCTTAAACAAATCTATGTAAACCAGCTATGTAAAACACACTTCTATATGCTGAATAAAGTATCTGCGGTATACTATAGACAGTCTTCGGCGTAGACTCGAAGAGGATTTTCAAAGAGGTTCACAGGAACAAAATGGCACATTCTATCTCCTGCTGTGAATAATGGATACAGTCATTTCTTACTGGAACAAAATAACAACTCAAACATTACGTTTCAGCTTTATTTATGATAAAAAGCTGTAGTCTTGTATAATGCATTAGCCGTTTGTGGTTTTTACATTAAATAACCTCACTCCTTTAACAAAACCATGCTTACTTCCTTTAGATGTAATCCCTCGGGAAATAACATTATGCAAACATGAAAACCCAGTGCTGCAAAAAAAATGTAAATACCCTGGAGGGGGAAGCGTTTCATTGGCTTGCCGTCAGCCAGGCACAAGGTTAGATCATGAATAATTGATCGTTTCCAGGTAATCGGAGACAGTGACTGTATTGCCACACTTACATACTCTATACTGTGATTTTGCTTTACAGTACTTACTATACACATGCAAGAACATGTGTACAAGACCGGTTTTCACACTATCACACTAGGTGGTGTCATCTGCTTATGACGCTACTCTGTTTCACTGTTTTGGTAATTTTATTCAAAACAATTTTTGGAACCTTTACACGTTTAATCAGGTTTCACGGTATATCAGGTTTTAAATACTTAAATATTTTTACAAATAAACATTTATTACAGAATTGAAAGAAAGCCCAGCACCACCTTTCTGGTGGTTGGCTTTCCGGTGTTAATCTGAGCAGCTGTATACATAGTAGTGTTGCACAGATACCAAGTACAGTACTCGGTACGAGTACATGTACCGATACTTTTGAGCTCCAAGACTAGACTAGAGAAAAATTCAAAAATTAGGAGGCAGCTGTCATTTGTAAGGAGCACACGGAGCTCCTGGGATTTGTAAATCTCTGTTTTAATGTACGATTTTGTTTTTATAAACATATATAAAGGGATGCACAGATACCAGTTTTGCGAGTACTGGTACTTGCCGAGTACTTACAAGTACGAGTACTGATAAATTTTTGTTTATTGTCATGTGACAGTTTTTCTAAAACAATACAGACTAATGATTTCAGGACAGTGGTGGAGTGCCAGAGCCAGGTCCCAGCTGCAACCGTTGCAACCCTGGTAGTTCTCATGAAAATGCATCTGCACTGGTACTCGAAAAGTATCCCTAATACATAGTTAAAATATATTAAAACTGTTGAAGAATGTTTGATTTTGTTCAGCTTGTCCTGTGATCCTTGCAACCCAGATAGACAGTACAGCCACGTTCTTGACCTCCACTGCAGCAATTGCACAGTTTGAACAATCACACACTCCCAGCTTACTGACTGGATAAGGAAGCAAAAGTCCAGTGATAAGTTATCATTCTCCCAATTACTGTGTTTCCTGCCATCACACATGCTCTGATTGCTGGCCCTTCCTCTACCAGTCTGGTAAGTGACCACTTTAAGAATAACTCCACTTTTTAGACCATGTTTCATGTTACACCCATATTTAGGGATAGGGACCCATGTTTCTTAAAGGAGTACGAGTGCAGTGACGTCACTGCACTTGAAGTCCATTGATACTTCCTCTCATCTCATAACTGAAAGTCCATACCTCGGTACAGTCAGGGGTTGGGAGGAAAAGACTGCCGGAGCCAGAGCATTGCACCTGTGATCCACTGTTTGTGGGTGCAATGCTTTGCAGGCTCAAATACAAACACATAATACATTTACATGATTTTTTACATTATTTTGTTTGCATTTAATATTTTTTTAAATGCTGGACTATGTGTTTAAGGTTGGTATTTACATTTAAGGAGAATATATTTTTGGGCTTTCTTTCCAGCTTAGCTATCTCTAATGCTTGGTACATTATGTCTGCTTGGTACTATAGCCTGTACAGTAGCCAAAGGCAGCCTAGCAGCTCAGCTTAGCCGAATGCATATGCTTCGGCTTGGCTTAGCAGTAGTGACAGCCAAAGCGGGGAGAAAGGTCGACCGTTCTCCAAGCAAATGACAGCTGGGCGGAGCTCCGCCCAGCTGTTCTCCTTCAATGACAGCCCAGCATCCTCGAGGACACTGGGCTGTCAACAATTGACAACTGGGCGGAGCCAGCCATGATTATAGTGACAAGAATGAATGGCGCTGTGCATTCCAAGTCCCAAAACGAAGGGTCATCAGCACTCCATATGAAGATAAAAGAAACAGTGTAAGAATCTGAGTCTGCTGGGACTACTGACTGACTACTGCTGCTGCCTACAGCCAACTATTTGGGGCTACGCATAGTGCTTTCCTCAGGGTAACACAGTAATCAAGTTACTGTGTCACCCTGAGGAAGGGACCCTGTGTTGTCCTGAAATGTTGGCTGTATGACTTATGTGACGCTATTATAATAGATCATTCTTTATCTTCAGTGCTGGTGACCCTTCTTTTTGTGACTGTGTACCACCATAACCTCAGAGACCCCGTTGACAGGTGAGGGGAAGGGCAGGAGAGCTAGGCCAACACAGACAGTAATCAGACACTTCCAGAAGAGTACAGAGCTATCACGTGCAAGGTGGAAAAGGTGGTGGGGGGCTGTGCTAGGGAATTCACTAGTCACATTTTCTAGCAAGTTCAAAGGCACATTGCAAGTGAATAAATAATTTATGGAAAACCAAACTTCAAGCAAGCATGTAAAATACTTTTTTTTTGCTTTCACCTTACTTTTAAGTTGGTGACAGGGTCTTTCTAAAGGTTTCTAACTGCAAATAATTACAGTCTCCAGCCACTAAAGCAATAGTAGAAGTCCAAATAACTACATTGATAACCAAACTTTGAGACGTGGACCTGTAACCCCCTTCTGTTCCTTTCCCTGTATTTTCCCTGGTAAGCTATTTCTACTATGGAACTAAAGGAAATTCATTTCTGCACTGTACAGTCAAAATTATTCTGATTCCTGTTACTTACAGCTTTAAGAAGCAACAAGTTGTCCCTTAAGGATCCAACCATTCCGATAAATGACACCACAAACATCAGGATGCCCAGAAGGAGGAGGATGATAGCCGGTGCCAGGAAGATCCCTTCCAAAGTCTGATGTTTCCTTCTCTCGCTCTCTGCATAGATGCCAATGCACAAGATCAGGAGGCCTATCAGCTGGAAGAAAACAGTAACAGTCAGTTATTTACAGTCACAGCATCTGGTAAAGAAATTCTTCCTCGTTAACCTGATGTTCGTTTTTCTCACACAGAGCAGCTTCCAATACAAGTTACAGGCCAATAAAAGATTTACGCGGGATCCTACCGGTGGTAAGATTCTTCGTTATAAGTGGTCCATACTACATCTGAACTCATTTGGACATACAGGTGCTTATTTCCATATGAGCTGAGATGGGTACATTCCATGCCTGCGCCCCCACCGCTCATTTTACATTGTTGATATTTACATCTCCCCCTGCATTAGTTCTTCACTAGACAGTGGCAGCAGCAGACACAGAATTGCCTCACCCTTTAGTCATTCTGGCCGAGGGCATTTTGTGCCGCCACCGCATGCATGACTTATCAACAATGCATGACATCAACAATGTCTAATCAGTGGGGGCAGCCCAGAATTACTGAAGGCCGAGATCACCCTGTGCCTGCACTGCCACTGCTGCCTGCACATTGTTAACTTTTACATTTCATGTAAACATTTGCACAAATGCTCATGCTCAGCATGTTCGGCCGACCCGAAGTGCAGAAGGAGTTCGACTCAGCCGATCCACTACTCGGTCAATTCTCATCGATTATTCTGTTCCGCTGTTCTGCTCGGTCTCTGTGTGGGACCGAGCAGAACAGAAAAACTGTTAAAAAAGTAGAACAATAAAAATAGAAAACTATTGTGCGGAGCTAGCAATGACAGCTAGCTCCGCCCAACAGTTTTTTATTGGCCGGAGGTTCTGCTGCCGTCAAAAAAAGAAAAAAAAAATGTTGGCCATAGGAATGCATTGCTAGATTCCCATTGGCTATTTCAATTTGCAATAGCCAACTAGCATTGTACCCGCCCTCTGCTGCTGTCAATCCTGATGGTGGACCTGATGGAGAACTGCAGCAGAGGGTGGGTGCAATGCTAGTTTGCTATTGCAAATTGAAATAGCCAATAGGAATCTAGCAATGCATTCCTATGGCAAAAAAATGTTTTTGTTTTTTTTCGATTCTGACGCGGCTCCGTGTCAGAATAAGAAAAAAAAAGAAAAAGCAGTGTTTCTCTCCTTGACGGCCGGGAGACTCCCGGAGCACCCGGGAGAGTTAGGTTGTCCGGAGATCAGTGTCCCTGGTTAGTTGGTAACCAGGGACGCTGATCTCTCTGCAAGTGGCCGGAGCCAGCCGTAAGTTCACGGCTGGCTCCGAGCTGTGTTTACAGGCTTAGCAAATAATTTAAGCTAGTTTTAGTTTTCTATTTTTGATATCTAGTAACCTTTTAAAAACTTTATAGTGTTACTGCTGTTGGCATTTTAACAGCAAGGGTGATATAGTAATTTATTAATGTCACTATGATTAACATCCACAAGAAAATAAAAACATTGCAATAACAGCAATGATCAGTAGGTGGCAATACAGAATGTTGTCTTTGGCATTTGGCAGAATGGAACTCTGAATTGTATTGTATTGATTCTGTGCTAGTTTAGTATTTGAAATTGGCATTTCTGTAAGGAGAGCTACATTTACCTGGTTGCTGCTTCTTCCATTCACAAGTGCTGCAGTTTATGCCACAGATCTCTAGATCTTCTGTCTCTTGTTCCTAGATCTCCATATCTCCTGTCTCTTATTTCACGGGATCTCCAGGTCTCTTATTCCTCATACCTCCAGATCTCCTGTCTCTTATTCCCCATACCTCCAGATCTCCTGTCTCTTATTCCCCATACCTCCAGATCTCCTGTCTCTTATTCCACAGAACTCTAAATCTCTAGGTCTCCTGTTCCACAGATCTCTAGATCTCCTGGTCCCTTGTTCTACAGATCTCTAGATCTCCTGTCTCTTATTCCACAGATCTCTAGATCTCCTGTCTCTTATTCTACATATCTCTAGATCCCATGGTCTCTTATTCCACAGATTTCTAGATCTCCTGTTTTTTAAAATTCTACAGATAGATCTCCCATCTCTTATTCCACTGATCTATAGGTATCTTATTCCATAGATCTCTAGATATCCTGGTCTCTTATTCCACAGATCTTTTGATCTCCTGGTCTCTTATTCCACAGATCCATATATCTCCTGGTCTCTTATTCCACAGATCCCTATATCTCCCGGTCTCTTATTGCACAAATCTCCTCCTCAACCAATTCTGCAGAATATTTTAAAATTTTGCCTGGATTGACTATTCAAATATTTTTGATTGTGAATGAAAAAATGTAGTATATAAACTGCATGGAGAAAAGCATTTTCTTTTGCCTTGTGTATTGACATGTTACAGATTCATATGTAACTTTATTAACATGTGCACTCGATGTGCAAACAGTAGGAGGCCTGTATTGTAGCAGCATTTCATTAAAAACAATAGTGAGTAAGTGATTAGAATATCTGCTTTGAAGCACTGGCGTCCCCAGTTTAATTAACCAGTTGACACCAGCGGTGTTAAACATCCTTCCCATCCAGGCCATTTTTCAGTATTCAGCGCTGCGGTACTTTAACTGACATTTATAGACTCCGTCATGTGAGGATCAGGCTGCCATGCTGATGCTTTGGCTGCAATGTTTTCTAAGTCACTGGCTTGGTTCAAACATAGAGATAAGGAATTATGACAATTCTGAGTCAGATACAGCCAGGCAACTATTGTTTTCTTTAGGCCTGCAATATCTTCCCCTCGTGACAGTGTCACCTTTAAGCAGAACTGGTTGAATCAAATCTTAACCCTTGCAGTGGGGATACCCCCCCTGCAGAAGCCTCACTGCAAGGGTTAAAACATTTTTTCCAGAGTTCTGCTTTAAAGGGAACCTATTATGGTTTCAGAATAATTTTATTTTAATTTTTAAGCTTATACATTTTTAAACTGTTTGAATAAAATTCAATTTTTTTCAAAAAATCAAACCTTTTTTTCTACTAATATGCATTTCAGACAAAGTACAATCATGACACTGGCATCCCAGAGCTAAAGATGAGTGGATCAATTTCTGTAAAACTGATTTGATCAATTTTACAAATTACCATTTTTGGAAATTCAGTTTCAGCCATTGAAGTGAAATCTTGTAATAATGTCTATTTTTTCCCTTTATTATGTACAGTACATATTTTACTATGCGTGTGAGTGTTGGTGGTATACTTAAAAGGAGAACTATGGGGTCAGTGTTTTTCGCCATAGTTCTCCTTAGGGTAACAGGAGGACACAAACTAGCGTCCTCCCGTTACCCTAAGCTCAGTATACCGCTCGCGGTATACTGAGACGCCGCAGCCGGAAAAAACCTGGTATGTGTTCGCTCACCTCCCGATCTACTGAGCCGACCTGTGACAGTCTCATTGTCACAGGTCGGCTAGAACTATGAGGTGAGTGGAAATCACTCATCTCATAGTTCTCCTTTAAAGTTGTGTAGTTTATTATAGTAAGTGTTCTTTGTATTTGTGCTTTTTTTTGTACTTGATCAATATTTGTGTACTGCCGCTTTACAATTTTTCTTCTTCTTTAGGTTTGCGGTCTCCTTTTTCAGGTAGAATAATAGGGCTCTCTTGGCATAAAAAGGATCATTAAAGAAGCATCAATAACCCTTGGAAGTTCCTTATAGTGGTTGGAAAGTCATGTTGAATTTACGGTCTCCTCTCTCTGCAGTGCACCACTCCTATTGAGGAACTAGTAGGAGGCTGCTGACCCCACAGTGCTGCTGTCACCGGCCCCCTAGTTGATGCTCTATAGCTGGGGTAGCTAAACTTTGTACCTCCAGCTGTGCCAAAACTATGAATCCCATCAACTATCACATCTGTTCTTGTGACTCCATTGATCCATGTATGACCTTGGACTATGATCTCGACTTTGTTTTTGGACTACTGACTTGACACTTCACCTGCATATCTGATTATCCTGTGTATGATCCCGGCTTGTGATCTTGACTCTGCTTCTATCGATTTGGCATCCCATCTGTGCATCTGATTCTTCTGTGTATGACCTTGGCCTGTGACTACCACCTCGATTATCTTCTCAGCTCCTGCAATTTTGTACACCTCATGATCAGCCTTCTATGAGGTCTAGTTTCCTGCCAGTCCGGTTTCTTCTCTGGTTCCTGTGGCTGCATTATATTGGTCATTGCACTCAAACTCCAGCACAAAACACTACCAGATCATCTCATCAGCACTCATGCCTACCTAACTCCTCCCTCCGCTTGTTACCATCTACAGAGGAGTCTGACTAGTGGTGCAAGTGTAGTCCCCTGTTCAGTTCGGTCTCCATCCATGTACGTGACACTTCCCTTTGTAAAGGATTGATTTGCAGAGGCTTCTAAAACCCAAGCACAAAGATGTTCCTGTGCCTGCGTATCATCACATAGACCTTCTGCTTCGAAGCTTGACAAGCCGCTACCTGCCTCTCCTACTTACATGCCTCTGTGGTTTGCACTGCTCTGTGGTTAGCCCTGTCCTTGTAATTAAATGTGTGATACTTCCTTCTCCATGTAACTTCCCCTTTACTCAACGTCACTCAGAATACTCAGACAAGACACATAAGAAGTATTGCACTGGATTCTATTATTATCCTGCATTATAGTAAAGACATTTCCTGTAATATTGACAAGACACCTAACTTAAAAATAATCTCTGCCATTCAGGCTCTAGTAGGCATCAAGATGATCTTATAAGCCAGTTTTACCATCCATTCGGTTCCCAGGCTCAAGAATATGATAGCTGGGATTGGCAGCCGATTTAATAAATCGCACAAAATGCTGTGCTTTAAATATACAGTATCTCTATTACGCAACCTTTCTAACTAGCGTTTTCCTGCTCGCTCTCTACATTTGAGGGATTGTGAGCAGGCAAAGATGAGACGTGGTATGTGTCATGTATCAAACTTTCATTAAATGTCTTATTATATCAAGGAGACTGGCAGCTCAAAGTTCTAATTTAAATTGTAGTTTTCAGATGTTCTGGGCCCTGCTTTTCTTACAAAAACTTAAAGATAAACTCCAGGGAAAAAAGTAT